CTAATATCAATCTTACTTTACAAATGGAGAAACTGGGGCACAGACATGTCAGTCACTCACCAGGATTATATTTCTAAGAGAGGAAGCTAATTCATACCCTGGCAGTCTGACTGCAACCTCACTCTTGTTCAATCGCCTCCTACTTTATGGCAAATATGCCTCTAGCTTCCAAGCTCTCATTACTTGGAAGCACCATACACAGAGATAAGGCATTTCCACATAGAGGGCAGACCCCTTGCCATAAATATTCAGGCCATCCAACGACCTCTATAGCAGCTGTCAACCTGAGCTACACTTTGTGTCACCTGGGGAGCCTTAAATAGCACTAATGCCTGGGGTGCCACCCTCAGAGATTCTGATAAAGTCAGTCTAACATGAGGTCTGGCCACTGGGACTTTTAAAAAATGTTTCTTAGGAATTCAAATAGGCAGCCCAGATTGAGGATGACTACTTCCAATTTTCCAGGAATGGGGTTTGTTCTGGAGGCAAGTTCTACCCACGCAGGACCAGGTACTGACCTTATGTGCCAACTGTTGATACCTTGATGCAAAATTTTTAATCTGCTACTTATGTAAATTTACCTGTGTTCGTCAGTACCATCTGTTATTTTAGATAAGCTTCCAATAAAAGGTCAGAGCCCATGTCTTATTTGTATGTGTATCCCCAGAGCCTAGTACCATCCTAGAAATTTTATTTCTAATTGGGAAAAAAATGATGAAACCACACCTAACCATCTCCATATTACAATCACAGGATCTGTTACAGTGACAATAACAGAATCTTAAATCTCACTTAAATCTATCTACTGGTTATTGTTGAACTGAATACTTATCTGCTAGGCTTCGAGATAGTAAAAGAAGCACACTCTGCCCCTGTAGTTTGAGATTTCTTGGGGATGTTCTCGAAGGATGAATAGTGTGTGAGAAATATTATCTAACCTCTGCTAATACGATATGTCTCTGCTTATTTCCATGACCCCGGCACAGGCAGCCTGACAGAGAGATGCTCCAGGGTCAAGGCAAAGAGATTGAGGCACTTAAGCTTTGCTGACTGCTACAAAAATCGCACTTGTTTTCCTTCATTCCAGTATAGCCATCGACCATTACCCGGTTAGCTTTTCCCTGCGTGGTGCCTGGTCTACCTTGCACTGTGCTAGACAAGTTTTCTCACTCTGACTTGTGTTTTACAGTTCACTTACCCATAGAGGATTTAACCAGGAATCCCTTTTAACACTTCCCTCCTACATGGGTCTGTTGGTGACACCTCTGCAGACCTGGCCTCAGCCACTAGCACACAGCACTCTCACAATCTAACAGCTGGGTCAGAGTCAGCAAAACCTGTTTTTTAAGGTACAAGAGAAAGAAAACTGTTACTCGCCATTTGACCATAATCAGGAACTAGTGGAGGAACAGATGCCCACTAGCTTCTTTGCAATAGCCACTCTTCTGAAATCATTCTTCAGTTCATTTTCTCCATCTCTTTGAAGCTCAGTGCACGTGGTTGGACCACGGAAGTCCAACCAAAGGATGGACCACCCATCCTTTGGTCTCGAGGAACTGCCTTTAATCATTTACTTCATGCTACCCAAGCTAATCAAACAACGCTTCCACATTCCTGTTTTCTCATGTGATTGTGTTGAACCCCAGCCACCTACAGCATTCAACTCTTTCCTCCTTTAAAACAAAACAGTCCGTCAGTCCCAGCCTGTCTGCCCACATTGTCCTTCTGTGGGCTAGGGTACTAGAGATGAGCTTCTTATTAAGATGTTTTCATTTAGGGTAGAAGGCTAGAACTTATCCTTACTTCCCTGGTCTGGACAACTTAAAGCATTCGCCACCGACATCTACCCCACATTCTAGAATATTCTGAACCACAAGGGCATAACATAAGCCATGACTGTGCATGACGCACTGCGAGGTTGTGGCAATGACACGTCAGTGTTTGCAGACGGGTCCAAGGATCCCCTGTAATAATACCACTATCACTCCTAGGCGTCCCTGTATTTTATGAGAGGGGGAGAAGCGAGTAGAATCACAGGAGTCATATAAAGCACTGCCATGACCTCCAGCCAAGAGCATTTATGCCATAGCCCTAGCCAAACCACAGTTACTGACACTCTTAACAGTTATGTTGATTATACATTATTGCAGTGATTTAAACTGGGTATACCCATAGGACTGTGGCTAACAAAGGGTCACAGCCACTGGCCTATCATTAAAAAGTGCCAATCACTCATTTCTTTGGGTGATAACATCTGTCTGATCTTCCAAGAACTAAGAAAGCTAAGACTTAACACGTTACACCAAGTACAATGGAAAACTATTACCTAAGAGCCTGGGCATATAATACATTTTAGATTGGAAATTTATTCAGGCCAGGGCATGCTATATTGTCTGGGCGCTATATACATACCTTATATTTATTAAATTGTGATAATCCAGCTAGAGAAGTTTCATAAAATTGCTTAAATTTAAACGAAATCCATTGGTGAAGAAAATATTTTCTGACCTGTCAATTCTGCCAAATCAGTCCTTGGTGACCAGTATGATGAGTCATGTCACAGCTGGCCTGCTCTCACATCCAAAGTGTGTTCTAAGAAGAAAGCAACTTAGCCATAAGAACTTTTCGCTTCATGCCATGGTATCATTGCTAAATGACGCATCATAAGCCTTTGAAGCAAATGAATCAACACATACAGACATCTCCCAATTTGTAGGTATCTTGAACAAACCACCTTTAAGATCATTTTCTTTTGAAAATATCCTCAACTGAACAGTAGAGCCAAAAGGGGGAAAAAAACCCATCAATCACATATACATTGCATTTTGGGGGGCGGCACTAATATCTTTGGCTGATGTGAGATTATTCTTAGTGTCCCATATAAATAAAAACACGAAAAACTTTACAGTTTAGTTTGATGAAATAAAAAGAAAGGCAATTCACATTATTTATAATTTCACATATACAATGCTGTGTTACTAAGCAATGAACACTTTCATAAAAAAATTTATTTCACACTTTTATACAAATATCCACAGGTATTTTTCTAATCATGAAATAATTTTACAATGCTAGTTAGTATAAAAATGTATCAAATGCAGACCAGTGACTTGACTTGAGATGACATTTTTAACAACTATAAATTTAAACACCACTACATTCTTGCTTCTTTTGTTGTTGAACCACCCTTGTACCCGCCCCCCCCCCACCTTTTAGGACATTCATTTTTATAACAAAGGTCTATAAACACTTTCAAAATATCAGCTTCTGAGCAACCTATACGCCAGTGCACTAGATTGCAAGTTACCTAAGCAAGAAACTGAGATTTTAAACACTGTTATGACCTGTTTTAGAGAGATCTTTGTAAACAAAATATCACTTATAAAACTATTTTTGTTTTGAAAATTCCAAAGGACAACTAGTATCTTAAGGGCATAACATTTCTGAAAAGAAAAAAAAAAAATTAAAACTCCAAAGCAACAATGGCACACGTAGCTGTATTTTGTTCTTTTAAAAGATTCTGAGATGCTGCTTACCCTATAGCCAAACAAATTAGCACCTGTTTGCTGTTGCACCCCATATAACTTAACATTTTGACTTACAGTGATTTTTTTAAAATTTAGTTTTCCTATCTATTCAGTCTCTATTGAATGTATTATATCTTCCTCCTCCCTCCCCTTCATCTTTAAAATTAAACAATTTAAAGTTCTTTTCTAGAGTAGTCAAAGTCTTTTGGGGGATGCAGACAGGAAACAAAGCAAAAAACAGAACATCAACTCACTGATTAAATGCTTCCAATAACATTTAAAAATGTCAAAGCCACAATGTTCTGACTTTTGGTATCAAGTATTCAGTAGTCTTACGCTGGATCGGTTTGGGTCCACCCTAGGTACTCACCGTTTCTTTCAAGTCCTGAATATACAGTACTTTCAGCAGTGACTAAACTGCACTAAAGTCCAACAAACAATCCCATCATTTCCAAGAGTTCCTGAAAGTTATAGCATGAAATTCAGAAATATCACACAGGGCTCTAAACTAAAAACTATCTGCTGTCTTTAAGAATTAAACATCTTACAGTTAAATCCTATTTCTTAAATGTTTTGGGTCTGGAGGGAGGGGGTAAGGGCTGCCATGAAGGGAGATGTTTTAATAACTTAAACTTATCTGTAAAGTATAACAACTCTGATACATTTATAAAGAATTACTGTCTTCTTTAGGCGGTCAATAATTTAGGTCCAACCAACGACCTCTCGTGTTCTAATTCTGATTGCTTAATCCAACCTGAAGGGTAAACTGGAGAATCTTTGGCCTGTTAGTCAATAACAAAATGGTTTGTAAAAAAGAAAAATAAATACCATATACAAATAAGTATAACTGGCATTCAAGTCTGTTATGCCTGTGTGTTTTAGTGAAGGGGGAATTAAACCTCTGTGTATTTGGTGTGAGCAGCTATTCACATATCTAGGAAATGGAAAAAGATGGCAGGATGGCAGCATCACCTTCTATTGCACACTTAATTTATGGGAGCACTTTAAACTGAACCCAGCTACCCTGACGGCATAGTCTTGTAACACAGGACAGTTGACTTGCAGGTTCTCTGGTCCTATGAGAAGAACATTTGCAGAGGTGGTGCCGAGGTCAGGACGGTCACTCTGTTGGCGCAGTGGTTGTGGTGGCTTCTTCCAGCTATACCATCAAGAGGATGTGGCAGGTCCTTCCCCAGCACAGGTAAGTCAGTCACACCAAAAACAAAGGCAACCCGGAACATTAAATTAAGGCAGTTAAAGAAAAATCCATTCCAACAGCCTTCAAATTGGCCGTGCAAAACAGGAGCCTCAGGCTACATAACAATGTCCACAGTTAAAACTGTAGGCTTGTACTGTGCGTAGTCTGTCTGAAATCTGTATTCAGGTATTGAACAGGCTTTTCAATCCATTTGAATTTCTGGGTTGGGGGAAAAAAAAAGGCAGTTTGGGTACTGTGAAGCTTTTTTGGTCCCCCTAGGAGTAGCTTTCATTTTCATTCCACCTTGTGATCCACTGTTTTTTTTCAAGGTTATCATTATATTTTTCATCTTGGATCTCTCGCTCCTCTTTCCGGATCCTTACAGCATGGTGGGGGGGCGGGGGGGAGAAAGACACAGGCACAAATTAAATAATTCCAACAAGAGCAAGTCCACTAGATGGCAATGTCTAAGCTTTCTGTTCACCTATGCCTAACTCTGGACTTGGACAAAGAATAAAACACATGGTTTTCTTTTAAGAAGGAACCAATAGGTCAAAAAGAAATGATAACAGCCGGTGGGGATAAACGGAAGAGAACAGCTGTAAAACTGGAAGAAAAGTCCCTTTTCCCATCTTGTCCTTCCACCTTACAACAATGTTAGTTGCCTCTAATAGTTGAAGAGCTTATGAAACAGTACTTCCATTTTTTATAATCACAATACTGTATGTAAAAGATCTAATTTTCAGATTATTAGAACATCATGTTAGTTTCAAGAACACATGTTTTTTCTAGGCCATACACCAAAGATTATTTCATGCCCTCTTCCATTAACAAAATGGAAATCAGGTCACAAATATTTTATAAATTACTACTTGAAGTGGGTCAATTTAAGAAATCTCTCCTCCAAGGCTCCAGTGCTTATCTCTCAATAGCTAGAAGGTAATTTCCAAACAGAGCTTCCAAACTAAGCTGTTTCATTAATAAATCACGCAGTAACTGTGTCCTGCAATAAAATCATTTATGTACTGCAAGGAATTTGAGGAAACTATCACTTGACTGAATTTCAGAGCATCCCCTAATTTCTTCTTTTTTGGCGAAAAGACAACATTTACATCTAAATTATTAATGAATATATATTTTATTGATCTTTAAAAAAATATTCAATCTGATCCAAAGTAGATTTTTATTGAGAACATATCTGGAAATTTAGAAATCAGATTGAATTTTTTAAGTGAATAAAATATATATGTATTTTTTAAAAAGATGTGTTTTTAATTTAAAAATGCAGATAAAAGGTGGATGAGGAAGATACTTAGAATGGTTGGTTAATGTGTTTACTATGTGACATCAACAGGAACAGAACATTTGTTTTGAATGATGTTAAGTTATAAATATGGCATGGGACAAAATAAAATTATGTACTAAGTTATCACTGAGTCAATGGGAAAAATGGACCAAGAAGTTTTGTTCTAAGGCCTTTTCTATTTTCTGCAAAAAAGCCAAAACACCTATCTGTTACAATATGTGGCTCTTGCCCCATTTAAACAAAGAAGAAATCAAGGGTGATACATAAAACTGAAATGGAATTGGGATTCATCATGACGGTGCCATGGAAAGGGATTATAGGGGTAATTCTACCCTCTCATGCCCACAGAAATGAAAAAGGAATCTCTGCCATTCCCATTTTCGTGGATTTACAAATAAGAGAAGCCAAATACAAACTTAAAATCAACTGAGACCCAAGGTTGAAAACACCTCTAGGAACAAGGAACAAGGTCAAACTCCATTACAACGTTCTGAAATAAACTGTCCAGAGCATTGTTATATTAGAATTTTGTATATCGAAGGCCATGTTTGGCAAAGAATCGTCTTCTGAAGTTGACCATAATGTCCATCACGCCAATAGTTAGAGTTTGTTGCAATGGTCTTTGACCCATGGTAGATATGCAGGGAAAGGAAGTTGCATGCTTAGCTAGCATAAAACAATTTCTGAGCAACAATAAAAGCATTCCAAGCCTTCCCCCATCACTTCACAGCAAGGAGATCAAAAAGATGACAGTGAGAAAGGCTTCTCTTCAAGAGAAACACAATGTTTCCAACATGCAATAGGTTAATGAAGCAGTCAACACAACCTTCTATCTGTGGGAAATTCCAAAATGGACAAGAAATCTGGGATGATTTCTTATGCATCTTTGAAATTCCAAGTGAGATGCTACATACTGGATTAACAACACATGGCAAACTGGGCTACTGTGGAGGTCTAAAGCCTCCTTTTGTGTGTACATAGATTGCCGTTTTCTTCATTGCTGTGGGTAATGTTTAATAACAACAACAACAACACAAAATTACTCACCTGCAATGCAAGATTCTTTGTGCATTTTTTAAAAAACTGTAAGCTTTCAAGTGAAATAAATGAAATAAATCCAAGCAAGGCAAGCCAATGTGGACATTTGGAAACATCTGTTAATGGGACACACACAGCAAGCTGTTGCTTTTAAAGTTAGCCACCACAACCATAGCAGGTCCCACAGCTAGCAATTAAAAAACATTGATCAATTACCAATTACAGAAGTAGATCAATACTATGCATCAGAAGTAAGCCTCTCTTTATCAGACGGCTGAGCATGGATCTCAGCCTTGTGATATGTGGCATCATAATGATCTTTCTTATTTCTCTTGAAGAAACCACACTACAAGGAAGCAAGGTATTTAGTCAGTGTTAACAGTTTTGTGTATAAAAGCTAAACAAAAGAAAATCTCAGATTTTAACCTGTTTTCTACTTACAGCTTGTTTACAAAGAGACCACTATGGATCAACCAAAAGGGACCAGCCCCTGCGCTATACTACGTGGTGACAGCAATTAACCCAACTCTCTTACCATGGGTCTCTGGTCAAATATTTATATGGATGACATTAGCTGATTGATTTTTCTATTTGTAACAAATCCTAAGGACCAAAATCATCCTAAAAGGGAAAATATATACACATCTGATTACAGCTTTGGGTGGTTTCTTCTTGCAGGGAATACGGAGTCTAAAAATAGGCAAAAGATTGACATCTACAGTTTACTGATTCAAAGTTTAAAGAATAAATTCTCTAAGGCTTAGCACAAATCCAAATAAAAGAGATTCTGTGAATATTTTTCTGCCCTTCGCAGTGAATTTTATGGAATAAATGCCATTTGCTTGGGGGCCTTGGTGGGGGTAAATCACAATATAAATTCAAATACACTGTCATGAAACAATGACAGCTGTCATTTTCCCAAATTCTGAACCACCATGTAACACTTAAGTGGTAGGAACCTGTGCTCCTCAGGTTAGGTCACTGTAAATGAGTATAAAGGTATAATTCCACTTTCTACTATAATTTCCTCATTCAACTGTGGAGAACTTTTTCTACTTACTTTTATCTTGTTCATAAGGCCATGGAACTGTCCTTTGATATATAACTCGATTGAACAATTTCTGACCTCCTGGAAAATTCTGCAGCCTAGCCTGGCAACTCATGAAGTACAAATCTTGATCTGCTTTGTACAATGTGGTAGTTACTAACCACGTGAGGCTATTCAAATTTAAATTAAAAGTCAATACCTCCGTTGCACTAGCCATATTCCAAGTGCTCAACAGCCACATGTGACTAGTGATTACCATAATGGACAGTGCAGCTTCAGAACATCTCCATTATTACAGAAAGTTTTACTGTGCAGCGTAAGATCCAGGCTGTTGATCTAGGCTATTTATCTGGATATTTATTTCTGACATTTAATTTATTATACAGTGAGCACACCCAGCCAACTTTCAGTAACACGTGCTAGTAAATATCGTGGGAAAAGGAATGAACCACAAACCAAGAGTCCTTGTTATGCCTCTAACTTGGCAACATTCTTAATATCCATGGGCGTGAGCATCTTTGTTTACAAGATGAAGGTGACTGGACCAGGCTGGAGGACTTTTCTCTTATACCCTCAAACAAAAGCCTATGCAGAATCCCTATGTTCAAAGCAGATAAAGTCACAACGGCTCTGGTTGAAGTGGGGATACTGCCCCTAGCCCCACCTGCGTAGCTTCGTCTTGGCACCTGCGTGGATGTGCAAAACTCAATTTAAAGGCCACTGAACCAGAGTCCTCTCTGGTCCTCAAAGTCTATTATTTTAGCACATAAAAGCAAACAGTTCAGTTTCAGAAAGAAAAGCATAAAGTAATAAAAATGATTTTCATGGGGTGGTTGTAGAAGTTGTCTGATTACTTTAGAGTTCACTTGTGAGTCCGGATACTTTAGAACATAAAAAAAAGGAGAGAGAGATCATCTAGTCCAAACCACTTACTAAGCAGCTAAGGCAAACCAGTGCCCCAGGGAGGTGAAATGATTTGTCCAAGATTATATAGCTTGGGTTTCTTAACTCTCAACTTACCCTCATTAGAGACTGCCAGTAAGATCTGCTCTGAAAAAGATTGTTCTTGTGACCTCTTCTGGAGAGTGGCAGAAGGCCATCCTCAAATATCAAACCTTGCATTCAGTTTTTGATATCAAAATAATTTCCAAAGCATCTCCTATATTGGCTGGCTGTGCTCATCAGACAAACCTACTACCTGAAGTAAACATCAGAGGTAGGACTGGCTAACATCCCATGGGAGGATGGGTCTTGGCATGAGCAGATACCAAGCTTCAATCACACAATTGGAGGACACAGGAAAGTTATCTCAGAAAATTATCTTGGCAAGAGGAAGTTACTTGGAAAAATAAAGCGAAAAAGAGATGCCCAACATTTGAAAGTGAGAATATCCTAAGCCCTTGTCCATTATACTCTTGGATCCAAGGAAAAGATAAGGATAGTTTGATCCTAGATATTGTCGGTCGAGTTTCATAATCTGTTAACCTCTAGACCAGATGTGTTTGGAAACCCAGAATTTTTGGCATTTTAGAAAAGTAATACACTGCATACATAATGTCACAGTAATCAAAACATTAGTATTTCTGCAGTGAGACTAATGAGTAAAGGATAAAGACCATAAAGAGCCTCTCTTCACATCATGTCAAGTTGTGCTGCCGAATAAGTCATTACAAACTGAGTTTTTTTACAAGTTGTGATTGTTGACAAAGGCTGATAAAGGTCTGTGAACCTCCATTACTCACTGAGAATAATCCAAAATCTATAGGTCATAATCTCTGGCAACAAAAGTATGCAACATCTCATACATTTTTTGTAATGTAGACTATTTACTGGTAGAAAGCAGGTGGAAGATACTACATTATACTTGCAGGACCAAATTCTAATGAAGAACATTATATTAAACCCGGATCTTCCTTATGTTTCATATAGGCTATGATAACTACTCTGGGATTAATTTCATGCTTTCCTATTCCTAATCTAGCTGCAACTGTAACAAGCCCCATGAACATTTCTTTACGAAAGTTGAAATTAACCAGGATACAGATTCTGATTAATGTGATACCCAACAATTTGGCTTAGATTCAGAATTTGATCTTAGATGAAGAAAAGGTCATAGGGGTAAGATTTTTTAAATTGTTATTTACCAAACGTGCTAAATTATATGTGAAAAACACCAAAATTTACACACTTAAGAAGCTCCTTGTAATGTACAAATACTATATACCTTTAAATACAAAATGTTAGACAGATATTCAGATGTTCATTGTATAATTCTCAAGTTTGCTGTATGTTGGAAAAGTTTCATAGTAAAATGTTGGGAAAAGGAAGCAATGAAAAAAATAGACTATCAGTGTTAATTTACTTTTTAAAAAACCTGAAATAAAGTTTGTATCACAAAACTCAAGTGCCAGATATGACTTACCTTCCATAGTAAAAATACTAATAGAGCAAGCATCAAAATCCCAGCAAGAATAGCCACTAGGATGATCCACCAAGGTACTCCTGAATATTGAGCTACAGTCTTTGAGGGAAACACCGTCACACGAACCTATGGGGCATAAAAGAAAGCAATATCATTATAAACTGAGGCGAGAATTAAACCAAGGGTTTATATTACTAATTCTGCTTCCAGACACATTTTGGTCAACGTAGCCTATGGACGGGTGAGATGTCTTTTTGATGTGAGATCCTTTCCTTTAGCAACGGAATACTGCTTTAAGAGACGTTTCTTGGAGATCTTTTCCCAGAACCTGGAAAATGCTAGATTGTGGGGTTTTTTTAAAATAAATTTATTTTTATTTATGTGTTGGGTCTTCGTTGCTGCGTGTGGACTTTCTCTAGTTGCATCGAGCGGGGGCTCCTCTTCGTTTCGGTGCACGGGCTTCTCATTGTGGTGGCTTCTCTTGTTGTGGAGCACAGGCTCTAGGCATGTGGGCTTCAGTAGTTGTGGCTCATGGGCTCGGTAGTTGTGGCTCGTGGCTCTAGAGCGCAGGCTCAGTAGTTGTGGTGCACGGGCTTAGCTGCTCCATGGCATGTGGGATCTTCCCAGACCAGGGCTCAAACCCATGTCCCCTGCATTTGCAGACGGATTCTTAACCACTGCGCCACCAGGGAAGTCCTGGATTGTGTTTTGACAAAGTAATTATTTCTTTGCTAACTTATGTTTTTAAAATTTTTGTAATCAACAAAAGTAGAGAAAATTGTATAATGAACCATCATTTATTCATCACCAAGTTTCAACAATTATCAATAGGGACACAACCCCAATCTTGTTACATCTATATAACCTGGTATCTTTTTGAGAATGGTCACCTCTCTTAATTAAGCATCCAACAGTGGCAACAAAAGGGTCTGTTTATGCACAATAAGCCTATATTCCTCCCTCAAATTTTAAAGATGTTATGAAATATAAAAATAGGGATGGAGCTATTAGATGGTATTAGAGGCATTAGATGGATACCATTCTAATTCTTCCTCAGGGTTGAAACTGAGCAGGACCCTACAGGGCGCCCCCAGCTGACAGCTACTTGGAACCACAGGACTGACGGTCATCTCTGAACATAGAAGATTACCTCCTCTCCAGCACATAGCCCCTTCTCCCTACATAATCTCTGAGCAAAACCTGGGGAGTTGGTTCTTTGGGATATGAGTCCACCTTCTCCCCAGGATTGCCAGCTTCTTTAACAAAGCTATCTTTTCTTTTACCTAACACTTCTCTCTCACAACTGGATTCCTGAGCGACAAGAAGCCAAACCTGAGTTCAGTAACAGGATAGCAAACTAAAGATCCTCATAAAGAATAAAATTTCCTGAAATGGCTTGGTGCCATCTTCTACAACAATGTGCACAGACAAACTAGACTCTGGATTCATTCAGAGGCAGCTTAGAGCTTTAAGTGGCAGCTGATGAGAAGCTTAAGTTCTAAACATTTGATAGCTGGCAAATACCAATTAAATAGAACTAGTGTTGATTTAGAAATCTAAAAAGTTGCTTATGGCAATTTGCTACAAATTGGTTACATGGGTTTAGAATTCAAGTGGATTTTTGTAATGCCAGGAGACTTTTTTCCCCCAGGAGATGATTTTTCAAAGCACATAAAAGACCTGGTGAAAGCTACAAATATGATTTTGTAAACTATACTGATTAGAGATCTACCAGTTTGGAGTTTCTGATATTTTTGAATTTAGAGAATATGAAGTGAAGGGTAAAGAAAACTTAGAGGGAACAATTTAATTTCTGAGAAATGTTTCTGTTCACATATTCTAAATTAATATTGAATTCTGGATGCTGCCTAAAAATGCTTCTATGTCTACACTGTGATTCACTACTACTATACTAGAACTCTTTCTTTAAAAATCTCTTAAAGTACTTCCCTTCCTACTTATCCTAGAAAACAGCTTCTCAACCTCCTTTGGCTTATGGAATATACTTAAAAGCAAGAACTGCTTTCCTTTAAACATTTAATAGGAAAGAATTCACTTTTAGAGTTTTTAGCATAAACACCTTTCTCGGCTACTATGTTTCCTGTTATGCTCTCACTGAGGTTTCACTCAAGCTCCCAGCCCCAGGGAGGGCCTCATGGCTCACTTCTGTTGCCTCCCTTCCCCCAACAGGTGTCCTCGCTTTAAGCTAAAACAACCCTTTCTTGAGATTACTGGTTCAAGCAGAGGGGTACCCACGAAGTAGGGAAGAATGGTGAGAGACTGGTGAAGAAATAATATAGCTGATGTGACTGCTAAGCCAGACTATTCTAAAATAAAAAGATTATTTCAATTAGCCTATGCTTTACCTCATTTAACTTTGCTTCCCTAGTATGTAGCACAGGGAAGCCACACAGCGGGTCCCTGGGGCAAGGTGATGACTTGGAAGGGCCATCCTCATGTTTAAGAATAAGCTCTGATGAAACCTTGAAGTGGAGAGTGGAAACTGGTCCATGGCAAGGGCAAGCAGCCTTATAGTCACACCGCATACCAGAGCCTTTTAAATGGCTGATCATAGGGGAAAACAATGCCCATAAAAGGCTGTAATCCAACAGCATAAGGGCTGAACAAGGTAGTTTATTTTGCGGGTTGGGGCTGGGGTGGTGTGTAGTTTTAAAAACCAAAACAACTCACTGTGTATCAAAGACTGAGGACTGATGCTAGGGGCTGGGCCACACATTTAAAGGCCAGATGTGCTCTGCAAACCCAGTGTGTGCAAGGCCACAGTGTGGTCCAGGAAGGCGAGAGGGGCCAGTCGGCAAGATTTTATTGTTTGTTTCCTTAAATTGTCAACTCTGTGTGTGTGTGTGTGTGTGTGTGTGTGTGTGTGTGTGTGTGTGTGTGTGTATGACAGTCATTCTCCAGCTGGGACTGAGAATGGGGGTTGTGTGGAGCTGGCCTTAGAATCGGGTGAGGGGAGACCAACTGTGAGCTGCGACTCCCAGAGCTCGGGAAGCCTTGTCTCATCTTGTCACAGCAACTGTTACTGATGGACAATGACAGGTTCAGGCCAGTAGAGATTACTCCAACTCCGAAAACAAAAAAAATTCTTTTGGTTTCATTAAAATCTAGGCATTTCCACAGGGATGACCTGTGCATGTGAACCTCATCCATCATGTGCCCGTAAGGGGAAAAAGGGCTTAATGCTGCTGATGCATTAAACTCCATCACCAGTGAGCAGTGAGACCACATCATTAGCTTGCCCCCAGCCAAATTGTGTCCCTACATCACTCTGTC